CTTATTATTTGCCATGGCGACCCCCGTAAGTCCAAATAGCTGGCCGGGCAGGGTTGGGCCTTTTTTCCTTTTTCTTTTTCTTACTCAGCTGGCTTGGCGAGAAGTGGACTTTTGGCGGCATATCAGTATTTGACCCGGGTCAACTGTCTTCATGTAAACGCTCACCTCTTTTGTTTGTCGTACAGACTTTCAACCCGGGCTGAACTCGACCCGGGTTGAAATTTCTCATGTAAACGCAGCCTAACGCAGAATGGTCTTGGTCCGAAGTCTCTACGAGAAAGCGTTTTTGAGATATTTCAATTTTAGCCACGCCCCATACCAATGTATGTGTGACGTCATTGTGGCATGGTGCGAAAATACTTGGATTTTGAACCTCACTTTCTTCAGGACGAAAGTCACTTAAGGTGGCTCCTACCCCTCGGGTCCAAATTTTTTTTGTTTGAAACGTGGCTACAAACGATTGTACTTTGTTCCGTTGGATATCTAGTGTACGGAGACACATTTTTATCAAGTTCTACCGGCCGGTTTCACTCGGGGGAGGGGCCAAACATAGCATACTCACAATTGCCAATTTAGGCCAAAAAATACCGGAAAACCACTTTTTTGGCCGTAGCACCGGTAGTTACCCCCTTTTTCTTGATGTCCAACATCAGGACAGTAGTATACTTGCTAAATATCAGCATAAGCTGTAGAAGTGGTTAGAATTCTGCGAGAAGGTGACCTTTTTTCTCTTTTCGGAATCATCCCATTTCAGCGCACACGTCCCACATATTAGCCCCGCCCACAAGTATTTGACACTGGACTTGCCCTGTATTCGATGGTTATGCTATCATAACCTAATAATGGTACTGTGTAACAAGTTTGAGCAGGTTCTACCGAAGGTAACTCGTGAAATAAAACTTTGAAGTTTCAAGTGATGCCATATTTCAAGAATCAGCACATTGCACTGGGACATTGTCCAACGCCTTAGAACCCCTGACTCCACCATATGACAGATACGTGTCTTACAATAATTGATTGCAACATCTTCCGAACATAGTAGTAGAGCTTTGGATCAAGTTTTAGCAGTTTCCACCGAAGCTAACTACCAAAATAGTACTTTGAAGTCGCCCACATACTAAATGCCATAGCTGAGCATGTGCATTGAGTGTATGGTCTAAAGGTTTTCACAACTAGCTCCAATGCGGCAGATACGTGTCTTACATTACTTGATTGCAACATCTTCCGAACATAGTAGTAGAGCTTTGGATCAAGTTTTAGCAGTTTCCACCGAAGCTAACTACCAAAATAGAACTTTGAAGTCGCCCACATACTAAATGCCATAGCTGAGCATGTGCATTGAGTGTATGGTCTAAAGGTTTTCACAACTAGCTCCAATGCGGCAGATACGTGTCTTCCATTACTTGATTGCAACATCTTCAGAACATAGTAGTAGAGCTTTGGATCAAGTTTAGACAGTTTCTACCGAAGCAAACTACCAAAATAGAACTTTGAAGTCGCCCACATACTAAATGCCATACATGTAGCTGAGCATGTGTATTGAGTGTACATGTATGCTCCAGTGTTTTTCACAACTTTCTCCAACATGAAGCCGATAGTGATGTGGAATTTGTTGACTGCTTTGTCCAAAACATAGTGCTAAAGCAATGCACATTGGGCACTTTCTACTGGTAATGTAATTATTATAATTATTATACAGTGTTTGCTGCCAACATAGCAAGACATACTTCTATACTAAATGCGTATTCCACGGGGTACGGTCCAATGGCTTTTCACTTCACATCTAGCCACTGTTCTTCGTGCATTACTTGAATGCTTAGCCGGTCTCCGTGGTAATGAAGCTAAGAGCCACACTGGAGAAGTTTCTACTGAAGCTAACTATCAAAAATATAAAATTTCCAAGATGCTACTATTACATCAAGTAGCTGTGTGCAATGCCACTCTGTTGAACACAGTAAGCAAAATCGAGTCACTAAAACCCTATTTGCCAGATACAAGCTGTTGAGACTGATAGCAGCTGTATGATCTGATATGGATGGCGGTTCCACACTGACCAGCACATGTACACGCGCACAGGCAGAAGAACACACAAGTAATACACCTAACATTACTTCGAAGTACACTGTGTACATCATGTAAATACAAGCGTATATACAAGCATAACTCCTGTTCTCCACAACTGGCAGTCCTGGGCCACTCCAGCTGGTCAGAGTGCAATAATTTCTGCAGCAGGCTTGACTTGGAAAGCTACTCACAACTGCCATGGCTGCAACATAAGACTTAGTATTACCAGCGCTTTTACAGTGCTACTTGTATTATATTATTGTCAATCCATTGTGGTGCGGCATGGCACTCGTTTTCAACAACCGAGTTTATGTCATTAGTTGCATATCCAACACCGGCAGAAAAAAAGAGGGGGTGGGGGCAAATTACCACAGTTCAACACTAGTCATACTGAACGGCGTTATGCCATGCCAGGCGCGCACACAAAACGCCCGCGCGAGCGCGCATGCATGTACACACCCGGGTGACACACATTGATGCGACTTTACATAGCCTGCACTGTCGTTCTATGTCATAGGAGTGAGTGCACACACATATATGTACATGTAGATTGCCTAATTTTGCATACGTAATAAAATTGTATATGTATACACACATGTGCGTGCACATATAGATAAACTCAACGGCATACACATGAGTGTGTGCCAGTAGGGCCACATGCCAATTATCGGATTAGTCTGTGAAAGTTGCACGGCACGACAAACTTTCGGACAGTCTAAAGATATGACACAATGAATGTGGAATACCCTCCAGTGTGTAAGACCATTTCATATCTATTTCGCAGCGTTTGTGATTTTCGGAGCGTCCCTGTTGATATTTGATGTCCTCACTTGGTTGATGACACAGTCACAAATTATCAAATTCACCTCCAATGCCATCCAATCTGCGTTCCGCGATACATGTACAGTGAACGGTGTTGAGGAAAGCCATGCAGCAATAAAACAGTCTAGACTCCCAAGCAGAGGATACAATTCTCGCAACAGCGTATTGAAGTACGAATTGTTCTAAACAATTTTCAAGACACAATTACAAAAATTGAAGTGCGTCTTGAAACGTGTTTGAAGTGCTTCGATGTATTTACCTTCGATCTCCCTGAATCGATCCATCCACAGCTACCTGACGAATTTGCTAGTCAGTGCGGGAGATGATCGAGCAAGTTATAATATTTGAAGGTCGCGAGATGTCAGTGGCACTGGCAGGAAATCTACACAAGCGTGTTCTGAAATAATTTTCTAATACTCAGGCATGATTCAAGAGCGGACTTTGATTTCTCCCTTCTTATGGTACGAGCACCAGTCGACATTGCATTCTTGGAAAATCTTCTGCGAGTGCTGCCTTCCCCTTTCAAAGAAAGAACGAGTGAAGAGGGACACTAGCAGCGCAGGTTCTAGCTAGGTCGCCAGAATTGCAGAAAAGCGAGAAGACGTTTCCTACAACGATTGATCGCACAAAAATCATCGCCACCGAAAAATTTACTGAAAATCTACACTTTTCAAACGATGCGCGCGCAGAGGGTGTGAGCCACCTTAAGAAAGTAGTTTGCCAAGTCGCCTGAGCCGCTGCAATGCCAAATTGTTGTGTTGTTGATTGTGCCAGTATCACATCATCCTCCTGGGGTTAGTTTTCTCAAATTCCCAAAGGATGGAGACCTGGCAAAGCGCCGAGATGTTGCAATGCGTCGTGAAAATTTCAAGCCTATTTTCGCAGCACGAGCTACATGTATGTTTGCTCGCTGCATTTATGATCCAGGCCAGAGGAACTTGAGAGCTGAGTTTTGACGAGTGCGCCGTCCAGGAAAGCCCTCATCAGTGTACCAGTGCCCTCCGAACCGTGAGCCTCCAGCAAAGCGAACTCAACAAGCTGCAACTGAGAAAGCAGGGCGAGATACGTCCCATCAGGATCAGAAGAGTACATCACCCCATCAACTCCGACTGCAGCTAGCTGATGAACGATATTACCCCAGTAACTTTGCGCATACCAGTACTCAAACTGTGCACATCTGTCATCAACTGGGACGCAAACAGACAGACCCCCAGCAAGTACGAAGGTTACAGAACTGTTTGCTTGCGATGTGCAGGCAGCATGCACGACGAACTGTCTCACCAATCCTGCCAAACTGAACCAGTGTAAGTTGATTGCGTGGATATGTCTCTATTTATAACAGCTACCCTACTTCTAGGCATGGTTGCATGAATACCATATCACTCAGAGCAGTTGTTAGAAGTCTGGACAGCCCAGGAATAGTGCAAGTAAAGTGAAACAAAAATTTATCACACTATGAGTTCCACGCTTGCGGGATCACCAGGCCAAAAAAATCTAATTTCAAACAAGGAATGGGTTCTGGTTATATGCGAAAGAAAAGTAAGTGAAGACCTATTGTGCAAGGAATACAGTGGGAACTACACATATTATACACATGCACTCACACCTTCACCCACATGCGCGCGCGCGCGTGTGCGTGCACACACACAAACACAACAACACACACACATACGCACCCACATACTCAAACTCACTCGCACGCACGCTAGCCTAAGGATAGTACATATGCTGTAGTAGTGGTATACTTAGTGAAATGACTATGTGTACATCTAATGACGCCGCCACTCCACGCCAGAAGACAACAAACATCTGCTGAAATTTTTTGCTCCCGTCTCTTATGGGCAACACAGGGAATGAAACGAACAATGCAATTGAGAACAAGAGTCGTCCTGTACGGTGAAGTTTCCATTTTCTCATACAGCAGTATATTGTCTAAGCAAGTGTGTTTTCTCCACATTCTTTTTGCCATGCAGGTATATCACAGTGTCATGCCAAACTACATTCTCAAACGCATTCGTTTCTCAATTCTGGGGATGATTGGACACGCACATCTCGCAGCTCTTGACGACGTCAATGTCAACCGTCGCCACAGCACAACCAAAAAGACCGCGATAGGAAGGTATAAAGTCCAGTTCTCAAAGCATAAAGAAGACTGTGGCCAAATAGAAAATTATACGACAGAAAGAGCTATGAGTATGTTGACAAGCTCATGTGTGAGGTGGTAGCGGTTGCAAATGGCAACCTCCATGTTCCTGCCTTGGAGAAGCGTGTTTCCCTGCCAAACTCCAGGTGGAAGCCTCCTGAGAAGGCTGAGGTGGTGCAGGATTTGGATATCTTTGCCTGATGGTATTCACAACGCAGGCTGGAAGACGACAACGAACGTGCTTGCCCAATTTGCCGTGTACATAGTGTGTACTGCCTGTGTGCCGCATAGCGTAGAGATCTACACAAACACAGAATGTCATATGGAATGTGTATGATGAGTGCTTGTACACATACCACATTGCTGTACCGTAATAATTATTATAGTCAAATACTCATTTACTCTACATATGCGCTGTATTGCACCTACCGGTACCTACCTGCACTTTCAGTGCGCGCGCCATACTAATTTAGTGTCCACTGGTACAAAGATGGAGGGTCTTGTAGAATTTACCATAATTGCTGATTTCAAATCGAATTCCAATGATCTGGGGGATGAATACTGATTAGGACGCGTTCGATTACCTACTAGTACAGAGATGTCTTGGTCAGAAAGTACAGATTTCTTACTCTCCTGCCAGAATTTGTGCATTATTTTGGTGTACGCTTTCTTGACCCCACGCTTGTACGTTGCATGCCATGGTATACTAGAAAACGAGTTTATTGACAAAGTCTATCGCTTGAAACGATAAAGTATGGGTTCGGGTGTGATCAAATGCACCCATGGTGCTCATAAACTGTGTGCAGTGCTCTCTTCACCAACAGAACACTACCTACCATACTTTGTAGATCTTGTACCAATCCAAGGGAAAATGACAAAGACAAATGTGAGTCATGCATGAAAACTTGTGATAGCACGATAGTACAGAACAACGTTGTTCGTGCTATGCCTGACAACAATAAGTTACACACAAAACATTACGCGCATCGATCCTCATAAGATAAGTCAAGACATACTCGGAGCAAAGAGAAATTTGTTTGTGTCATGCATGAAACTTGTGATAACTACCAGTACAATGTCTTTCTTGTGCGACGCCTACTGTAGTGCGCCTGACAACAATAAATTTCCCCCAAAAAATAAGAATAAGTGTATCATGCTGATACGCGATCCTCACAAGACAAGTCAAGGCAAACTAATTGAGGCTTACCTAATGTCAGACTCTTCTGTCACTGGCATTGGCGGCTTCTGCATGTCGAGATAACCTCGAAGAGCAGTGATGGGCACAGCCTAATGCAAGGATACGATCTCGTAATCTGCGAGGTCCGCTACGCAAGAAACCTTGGGCCGTCTTGTCGACAGCGACGGCAGCATCCTACCAGCAAAATCATTCCCGCGGGCTGGGCATGGCTATACACTTTTGTCCACGCTCGCACCAGTCGGAGTCCCAAACGAATCGAGATTCTGGTGGCCAAGCTACTCGTCTTCTGTCGGACGCAGCTGCTGACGCATCTTCTTCCTCAACATTTGTTACACGCGATGGCAGCTCCTCAGCAGAGTATCTGGGCTCCCTGCCCCAACCATACGCGGCGGTGGGCTGTTGGTCGTCCTCACTGGCCTCAGCATCGCTGCCTTCATTGCTGGGGACAGAGGATTGTTCGGAATCGCCCATCTTCCCTTGAAATACCAACTAAAATAATAATTAGTGCTTGTTGTAGACTGGCGAAGAGAAACGACTATGCCACAATGACGTAGGCAGCCCGTGATGATGTAACCAAATGGCCGCATGACGTCAGGGCGCGGCCCCCGTTTTGCAATTTCAAAGTGAAATATCTCAAGAACGCTTCGTCGTAGAGGCTTCGGACCAAGACCATTCGACTCAGCGCCCGAAACTCTACAGGCTATCAAAGTTTCATTTTTTCGTGGAGTTCCCCTTTAACGAAACAGCCCTATATTTCTTCCATTTGTGTACCTCTTGCCTACTAGGCTCTTTAGGCACCGGCGGATTATGCCAGCATAACTATTGGCATAATTTGAGAGTTGAATCCTTTCGGAGGTAGGAGCATAACTACATGATTGTACCACAGTTCTAGTATGTAGGCTTTTTTTTTTTTCTTTTACTATTGACACAGCCCTACTGGAAAACAGGTGGAGAACAAAAAGAAACGAGGAAAAGGACAAAACATAGGGGATGTAGGGACGACGTGCTGATGTGCTGGGAGCAACTCAACCGACCAGAGGTCTCGGCGTCAGCGTTGCAACTAGGCATCGAAAAATGTGTGTGTGTGTGTGGGGGGGGGGGGGTTGCACAAGAACAACTGCAAACAAACAGAAGCTAGAGAATACCACAAAATAATAACTTGGTGCGAAATAATGAGAAGAAAATAATGACGCCCAAAAGCGCTAAATACGAAATTAAGAAAAAGGAAAACAATAAACCACATAGCGCTAAAGCTGCACCAAATAATAATTTAAATTATAACTAAGCCGGGTGGAAAACCAAGAAATCATAACAAACAAGACAAACTAAATAATAAATTAATAATAAAAAATTAAATAATAAAAGGTAAATGAAGCCCAATATCATCAGCATAGCCGAACCAAGGAACATGGCCCGTGCCACAGTCAAGAGTTCATCCGTAGAAGTCGGTAGCCATCAGCCAGTGTTGGTGCGTGAGATACTTATGGACATCTACTTTGAACGTGTGGAGCCGCTTCAAGCTGAGTGGAGCCCTTACAATTTCGCTTGGCAAGCTATTCCATACTGAGACTACAGAAAACGGGAAGGAGCGAGAAGCATAGGCAGGTGCTCTCCTGTCCAGGACTTGCTGCAGCTGCACATGGTGCTGCTGGCCAGGAGGGGGTTGACTCCGGGTGCGCCGAGCTTCTACATGGTTGGCTGGAGGGGGGATCATGGCGGTGAGCTGGGGTGGTCCTGGGATGCACTGGAGCTTGTACAGGTATACCAGCCCAGATACAATCCGGCGGTGGCACAGGCTTTGGAGAAGGGCACCAGGGCCAATAATGGCCATTGCACGTTTCTGTACACGGTCGAGTCGGGCGAGGTGGCTGGATGCAGCTCCCATCCACACAAGGGGAGCATACTCGAGGATGGGTCGCACAAATCCCTTGTACGCACAAAGCCGGCTATGGTAATCTAACACCCGGCAAGCCCGACGGAGAACACCCAGTCTCTGGCAGCCACGTGTCGCAATTGAGTGCAAGTGATCCCGGAATGACAGCTTGGCGTCAAATGTCACTCCAAGAAGCTTGATGGTGTTGGCTTCCGGAACCGCGATACCTCCGAACTTGATGGCAGGGACAGCAGGGTGTGTGGCTTTCGTAGTCATCAGCAGCTGTTGCGATTTAGAGGGCTCGAATCTGATGCGCCAGCGTTCTCCCCACTCTTCAAGACGCTTGAGGCTGGATTGCAAGGCGGCAGTCATGTCATTCATATTGTCCTGCGTGCGGATGAGGCTGTAGAGGGTTGTGTCGTCTGCAAAGGAACTTAGTCGCGTCTCGGGAGACAGGCACTGATCCAGGTCAGACACATACAAGAGGAAAAGTGTCGGGCCAAGGATACTGCCTTGGGGCACACCTGCTGTTATGGGCGCCGGGGAGGATGAGTCGCCGTGGACCAGGACTGATAGTTTGCGTTCAGGAGGTAATCCTGCAGCCAGTGCAGCAGGCAGCCACCAATGCCAACGTTCTTGGCTTTGAAAATCAGTCCAGAGTGTGATACCCGATCAAATGCTCCTGCTATGTCCACCGCCACCATGTGAGCATACCCTCCATCGCTGATAGTCTTGACCCACTCAGTGTGCAAAGCAGTGAGGATGTCGCACGTGCCTCTTCCTTGCCGAAAGCCATATTGACTGTCGGGCAGAATATTGAAACGCTCCAGATAATTCACGAGCTGCTTGTTTACTATACTCTCCATTACTTTTGACAGGATGGATAGTAGTGAGACTGGCCGGTAATTCTTGGGATCCGAGCGGGGGCTCTTCTTGAAGACTGGAACCACATGGGCCAGCTTCCATTTGGTAGGTTGAACACCGTGGCGAAAGCAGAGTGAGAACAGTTTGGTGACTGGTTCTGCAAGCTCACTGGAACACTGAGCTAGGACTCTTGCTGGAATATTGTCAGGTCCTGTTGCCTTCGATGTATTCAGCTTGGCTAGACGGCGGCGTACATCAGCAAGCCGGAAATGGATGCGGTCAAGACCATGGCGGTCCAAATGCTGCATTTCTGGCAGATCGTCTGGAGAGATGTCATCATCTGCAAGGCTACACTTCTGGGAGTAGTACCTGGCGAGGCAATTGGCCTTGGCTTGGCGAGTTGGATACTCTGTGCCGTCGGTGTCCTTCAGCAGAGGTATCTCAGAGGCACGTTCCATCCCAGCAGCTCTCTTCATGTTGGACCACCATTGCTTGTCGTTAAGTGAGCCTGAGCTGAGCTTAGCTTTGACACGAGCATCATGTGATGATTGGGCACGCAGCAAAATAGCAGCTGTTCGGGCCACTAGGTCGATGAATGAAGCTCGCAAATCTCCATCATCGGGGTGCTGACGCCACCGTTTCCATGCACGAGTCTTTGCTTGAACTACAGTGCTGCACTCAGGTGTCCACCAACAAGGGTCTGTCGTCCGTACTGTCAGGGTCTTAGATGGTATAAACGTGTCCATTCCATCCAGAATTACAGTTGTGAGTTGTTCACATGCAAGTTCGGGGACATCGCAGACGACAGCAGCCCAGTCAAAGCTGCGGAAATGTGCCCTCAGCCTGCCCCAGTTTGCTTGGCCATAACGCCATACTTTCCTACTTGTTGGCCGCTCCAGTACAGGAGTGATTTCCTGAAAGTTAGACAATACTACACAGTGGTCAGAGCGCCCGATGGGAGATGATACTGCTGTGTGGACAGTGCCAGGAAAGTCGGACAAGACGAGATCCAATGTGTTTGGCCCACGGGTTGGCTGGGTCACGTGCTGGACAAGACAGTGTTGCACTGATTTCTTCCAAGAACTCCCCTGCGATTGTCGTTCGAGAGCTGCCAAGCCAGGACGTGCTGTGAACATTAAAATCTCCAGCCAGAATCATGTGCTTACCATGCTGCCGCATGGTATCTATGTTTTGGTCTAAGTGCTCGAGTAGAGCCAGATCATTGTCAGCGCAGGAACCAGGGCGATAGGCTGCACCTATGACAGTTTTGCTGTTGCACTGGCCAACGGTGAGCCAGGCTGTTTCGAATTCAGCAGACTGGTACTGATCCAGATGCTGGTACGCGATGCCGGCTTTGATCCAGACTCCAATGCCACCTCCGTGTTCTGTTCGGTCTCGGCGAATCGGGCCACAGTATCCCGGGATCATAGATGCACTGTGAGAGCATTTATCCACTGTTAGTTTCGTCTCAGTCACTATGGCAACATCCGCACCTGAGAGCAACAGGGTGTGCTGAAACTCTCCGAATTTGGACAGCAGCCCGCCTGCATTGGTCAGGAGGAGCTTCATGATTGCTGGCCGTCTGCATTCAGTTGTTGTTGCTCGGCAGACTCTTGCTGCTGGTGGTCTTCGTCCAGTTTCTTGAGCAGTGGGCTGCCGGAGTCAGGTGAGTCCCCATGCCGCCGCTTGCGGTCGGGAGGCAATGGTGTCAGGTCGGAGCTGTGAGTGGCTGAGTCCTTGCCTGACTTCTTCGACAGCACAGACTGTCCATTTCCCTTTCCTGGCACTGGCCCATGACGTTTTTCATGGAATGTCCACTCCCTCGCATACAGTGGTCTAGGCCAAAAGTTTACAGAGGTGACTGTGGGGAGGGCATCAGCATCAACAGTTACTCTTCCTGTCATCATTCCCTTCTTGTTTTCACGGACACTGCAATCATGAACTGCAACTGTCTGGTGTACTGCGGTGGAGCGTGTTGTGATGAACTCGCTTAGCCGTTGGTCATTGCACTGGGAACTAAGATTGCCAATAAAGACAACTACTCGCTTCTTGCGGTGAGGCTCTTGAGCCACCAACTGCCAAGAATCATCCTGGATGGCCTCCAAGTCCAATGCAGGGGTTGCGTTGGGCACAGGCTTGGCTGGCATGTGTCCGGATCGACATCCTCCATGCTGCTGAAAGTCATCTGCGTCCGAGCACTCCGTGCCTGAGGGCCCACTGTCCTCGATCACTTTAGGCTGCACTATTGTGTACAATGCACCTGATCAGTGCTGGTGGTCTGCATGGTAAAGGGTTCGGAGGTCATGCAGATAGTGTTTTCAATGAAAAGCAGGGTAGAAATCATGGCAATACATTATTGTATGCTCGAACTCGTCTTCTTCAAAGTTCTTTCTCAAACTGATACAGTACATGTAGCAGAAGATGCGAGTGAATAAGCCTTTATCAGGTATCCCGGGGCGGACGAGATAGTGATGGGTAGTCCGCAAAACTCTGCGTATATGTACATTATGCATGATACGAAGGCATGACCTCTGGATTTTAGCAGCCATGATTGCAGGCTATGGATATTGCTCTATGATAATTTAAAAAAATGAGGTATAGCTGATGTTCGATCATGATGGAAAGAGAGGTGGAGGTACGGGAGAGATGAGCTGATTATTCGCAGGGTGAGGTTGACATCGGTTGGACGAGAATGACGATTTAATTACTAAGGCAGTTGAACGTCATAAATTTCCAACGTAACACAAACTAA